CACTTCATTCACCGCCCCTGTTCTCGGGGGGAAAGAGACAGGGGTTGGACAGGAGCGAGCAGCGAGAGAAGAGAAAGAGGAAGCAGTACAGTAAGTGGCTCAGATCAGCACTTCTCTATTTTGTTCAATCAAATAATGATGTACTTGGAGGAACATCTCCCACTTGGATTGTCTGCGAGTGGAAGATGACAGGAGGTGTTCCCGTCATGAGGCCTAACCGCTACTGGACCGTCCTGAATGTGTCCATCTTAGCACTGCTGGTTCTCGCCTTAAACGCTGACAGTAAGTAGTTGATATTTTTTTGAACATTTTTTGTGCTGTCTCAGTATTTGTGTGGTGTTACCTTTCCTTCCTCTGTAGGTGTGTGATGGTTTGAATCAAGTCTTTGGACTGAAAAGTTAGCTTATTTCATTTGGCCTGGTTAGCTTTGTGACCACTCCCCAAATTCTCTGGTAAGAGTTGGTGGCCTGATTTCTGCGAGGGTCATGAACTTTTAAAGTGCTGTGTACAAGCCTACAGTGGATTCAGATTTTTAAAAGGTCAGCATTGGCGCACAGTCACAACCCAAACACCACCATTGGCTCAGTTTGGTGTAAAAGTTATTAAAAGTTGGACGGATATCAGCTATCGAAGGGGGTTTATCGCGATTGGACCACAATTCTGCCTTAAACGTATCGTGTAAAAGGTACAACTTGCCTTTAAAAGTATGAGAACTCCACCATGAATGTCTCTTGAGCTGATGTAAAAAACTGCATATTCCCTGATGCTAAAAACACTACTTACAGTTCCAGTTGCCCATTGGAAACTGTTAGAGATTTTATTTCAAACATGGAAGAAGCACAAAATATTTCTAAAAGCAAGACACAAAAAGCCTTCATTAATCATCTTCATGTTCCTTGTGATTTAGAAATGCTGTTATAGACAAAGGAGGTAGTCAGTTTTCCTTTTGTAATAGGAAGTACTAATGTAATTTCTTTTAAAGAGTAAAGACTGTGTGAGTTACTATTCATAACTACTGACCACAGTTTCATTCATGTATTTATGTACATTCTGCGGTTTTCTTGTGCCGTAAATGCTTCTTTGTGGTGTGACGACGCGGTGTGTGATTTTCTTACACAGGAGATGTATTATTTAAAGTTGGCTCACTGTGGGAAAGTGAACCACCAACATTATTTCTCACCATGTTTAATGGTGTTAAATCATTGTTACCTGTGACATTATTACCACGAGAAAACCAGGTATCTCAACATTCGATCATCAAGCAGTTACTCCGGAAATATAAAGTGGATGACTTTTTTACAACACTTAAAGATCATGTGACGTGTCCAAAATCTCCAGAACGGCTACTAAATGGACCTTTTCGTGAGATTGCTTTGTTAGCTTCTTTTTCCAAGATTAAAAAAATGAACTCCAGCTCTACATGTATGGTTGAACTGTTACATGTGACGTTAAAGTTCCCCTTCGGACAGTCTCATTTAGGTGGGGCACACTCTCGGTTCCTGCAGTCGCTGGATCTCATGCAAATTGTGTTCACAATTTAATGTCACCAAGTCATTTTTTTTTTTTGCATTTTCAGTGTGTTTAGAGAGTTTTTTCAGTTTCATTTTTACTGTAGTTAGTCATGCGTGATCTTATTGAATATGAAGTTGCTTTTTATTTCCTATGTAACTTTCACAGTCTTACTAAGAAAGTATTATGAGGCTAATGTACTTCACATATGTGTTTAGTGTCCTTTAACTAATATAAATCCCATCAACTATTCACATAACATTACAAAGATTTTTTGTCATATAATATATGAGGTTGTTAAACTAAAGAAGCCTTAGTTCCAAATCTTATGTTATATACTATTATCATTAATTTATCTCAAATTCAACTGTTTCACAGTATCAAGCAAGGATAAATTCATCTTATCACTCATAATCTGTTATGTTGTCATTCTCTCCTGCAGGTGAAGACTGTGAAACAGTAATTAAAGTACAACGCAACACACTTTACGAGGCCTTTGTTGGACAAGAATTTACCATGAACTGCACAGTTTCTTTCTGCAACAGTTCACCACCATCAGTGTCCTGGCACAAAGTTGATCAACCTATTGACCCTGTTAATGTCAGCAGTGGCAGTCACATTAAAACAGAGTGGAAAGAGTTAAGCCATTCTGAAGGGACGTCGTATTTGATCTTCCAAAAAATACTCGTCAGTGACTCAGGTCTGTATCAGTGTCGAGGTGGAGATGGTGTGAGTCACAACATCAATGTGTCTGTCCATGGTGAGTGTTCCTTTTTCAGTAATTTATACATACCATAGGAAACCTGTGTTCACACCGTCCAGCTTACATTTCTAACTGCTACTGAATAATAACTAAACAAATGCAGCTGATTTCATTTTGTACTATAAAACATGAAATTCCTCCTATTTTCACCCCCTCTATCATCAAATCATTTAAGACTTGAGACAGTAGCCCTGTGTTGTCTTATAGGTCATGGTGAAATTACCACTGTTAAATGGGAGAATGAAACAAGTAAGAAACATCTATGTTTACAGTGTTTTGTAGTGATTCTGCTTTTTCACCTGCTTTTACCTGCATTATGAAACATTTGTTTTGTTCTTTCAAACACTGTGGCCTATGTTAGGTTTACATTGAGGACATAAACACACATCCATGTTGAGTAAAACAACTTTTTTTTCTCTCGCAGGTAGCCCAACTCCTACTCCTCAGCTCCCAGAAAATATATTGATGTACGTGTACCCTGCTGCTGGGATTGTGACACTTGTTGTCATAGTGATAGTTCTATCCATCATATCAATGCGAGGGTGTAAAGGTGAGATGATCCGATTTGTTTTTATTCATTTTATTCTCTACTCCAAGATAAAATGCCAAGTATTTGATTAATTATGCTATGCACATGAAACTATAATTTCACCATCATGCAGGGAAAACAAAGAAAGAGACACAAACTGAAAATCAGGTAAGATAAGAATACATTGTCAAATTTATAACCACATTATTTCATTTTTATTCCTTTAAACTGTTTAATGCAAAATGTTTTTTCGGATGTGCGTAGTACATGGCAGTCCCCATGGTGGAGCAGCCCTTCCCACATGCCAGCCTCCAGGCCTCGCCAAGACAAAGCCCCTCTGCCCCGCCCTCCCGGAGATCCACCCGGAGATCCACCCGGCGAAACGCACCGTCCTCCCAACCCAATGAGGCACCGAGAGATAACGAGCACGTTTATGGCGAGGTAAAAGAGGACACAGAGAGAGGGAGGAACGTGGTGGAGGACGAAGGGAGTTCTGTCGTGTACGCCGCACTCAACCATCAGCCGCCACCGGGGGCTGCTGCTCCTCGGCAATGGAGGCGGGAGGAGGAGTTTTCAGAGTACGCAGCTATCCGTGTCTCTTAAAGACCCAAAACAAACTCGAGTAAATCACTTCAACATGGAGGACCTCTCAAAATCACGCGGAGTAATATGTGTCTTGGTGTTGGCTAGAGTAAATTCCACTTACACTAGAGGACCACTGACGAACATTTCAAACAGGTACATCCCACAGGAGCAGAGGAGGGCAATTACAAGAGGATACAATGACCCACTCACAGCAAGGATTGCGGATACAGAAAACTCATCTTGGACGACCAAAGGAAAGACTCAAAACACGAGGAAGCTACAGCACTGACTATTCCACCCAGTCTCACAAGACTCCAAAGACTTGCCAAATAATTTAAGTACGAAAATTTCCATCAACACCATTTGGTCAATACTTTCAAGGCCCTGCACACCTGCACAATCCAGTTGGAAATTGAATGTTTTGCATCACCCTTGTTGCCTAGAGTTTTCAACATCAGAATTCAATCTGGCAAATTCTAACTCCCAAGGATGTGAGTTTGAACATGACTGTACTGAGAAAGGCCTCGTCTGTGCACAATCCAGAGAGGAGGTCGTATCATTTACTATAAGTTGAATTGCCTTTGGGTATGTAGGGCTTTTAACATTTGTAAAAAAAAAAAAAAAAAAAAAAAAAAAAGAGAATGCCATTGTGAATTTTCCCCTTTCACTGACTTTTCATGCTAGAAATTATTGGCAAAGGTAAATAGACTACACCAGTTGTTAGCATGTAGTAGCCTAAGCAACAGCTAGAGGACCAAAGACAACTAGTACTACTACTTAAATAGTTGGTAAGATTACCTGAGTCACATTGTAAAACTTGCAGTAAGGATGTGTTGGTGCAAGTTTTTTCAGAATTCATTTTAGGTTGTGAGACTGCAAATACGCAGATCAACCCTCACTTCAATATGGAAATTGGAGAGAGAGTACATTTTAACAAATAAAACCAAATATTGTACATTTTGTGCCAGGGATGAAATGAGCTACAAAGCCCTCAGACTGTGTAGATCTACAGCATGGGAAAGGCAAACTGTGTCTACAGCCAGTGTGGTTTTGTTTGTAACCTTGGTTTGAATGATTTGTGTCATGCACCCGCCGTACATGAAAACTCACGTGTTGTTGCACATTCGTGACTTAAATTGACTCTCCTGAGTAACATCACATCTGACAACAGTAATGTTTTGGGGATTCTACAACCTGTATCATATCAACTCTTCATGCATTTTCTGACTAAACGAATGACTAATGAGCTTTTGGGATTTTGTGTTCCACACACCTTTAGAGTTACTGATTCTTTAACTGGGAAATAGAGAATGTAATGATTATCTGATCATTTTGTGCAATCAAATAACATAATGTATATCCATAATTGTCTGATTTGAAAATGAAGTTGTCACTCCTGACTTGCTCTTGCACTTTGTTTTCTCTAAAACAATTTCATACCATGGAGGCAGAAATGTTTCCTCAAAAATCACCAAAGTTTCAGATCTACCAAGGCTGAAAAAAAAGATGTGTGTAGCCAATGTGTGTGTGCTTGAAATGCCTGTAATCAAAAACAGGAAGTAAAGTCGACCACATGCCATTTACTGTTATATGTAGAACACATCTAAGGTAATAGTTGTTTTACAGAAGGGGATAGCTGGTTTTTCGTTTCCACCATGAGATCGAAGTACTGCCTGACCATCCTCCATGTTTCTATGTTGGCGTTGCTCGGTGGGACTTTGGAAGCCGATAGTAAGTTATTCATTATTTCTAAATGGCTCAACTCAGTCTGAGCAGTGTCAGCACTCTTTTTCTGACACCAGGTAATCAATTTTAAAGGTTATGAAGACTGAAAAAGTTTCAATTATACTTCTTGTATCTCATGTAAATCAAGAGCGGGGGCATATTACACATATTTTACTGGCCATACTCAAAGATGCAACGAAATGAAATACACTGAATGCGGAAGTAATTTGAGTCCTATTAAGAAAACACGTAAAAAAACAACAACCATAATCTACCATTCACCAGTGAGTGTTTAACACAAATTGTTGCTAAACTGACAAAATAAGAAGTTGTTAAACAGGTCTTTGATGCCCTAATGCAGATTTCCGTTCATTATTTGCATCTCTGAAGGATCTCTATAGAGATGTGTTTATAAGAATATTAGCCATACCTCTTGTGCAAGCATTTAAGGGAGCATATATGACTGTAAAGTCTGTTTTTTCTTGATCCATATGCATTATTTTACTTCAATTCTTCTGGAAATGCGGATAGTAGAGCTTGAGCCTCATAAGCAGCACTCTCTCTGAAGTCTCACCTCTTTTGTTAAAGTCCAAAAAAGTAAATCACTTTTCCTGGATTCTCCTTTGAGAAGAAATTAGACAAAAATATATTATATATTAAAATATATATATATATTTGATTTAATGAAGTAAAATACTGTTAGTTCTTTATCTACGTAGACGTAAAACTTGTTTCCGTGAACCCAATCATATCACTTCGTTTTATACCATATTTGGAGAAAGCAGTAACGGTCACGAGAGCCACAGACTGTGAACAACAACCACATTAGCTTTCCTGCTAAAGCCTCTTTGTCTTATCTCACACATATGAACAATGTGTAGTCCTGCACCTCAGTGTGTCGAGCGAACCATCAAACAGAAAAATGATCGTGGAATCGTGCACTACTAACATCAGTTTGCAGGCTACAGCTACAGTAATTAGTTGCCAAATTTGTGATATATACCCAAATACTTTTTTTTCTTCCTTTTAATAATAAAAAAAACCCCATTAATAATACATTTAAAAAGAGTTACATTGGTTTTGACTCCAATAAGGAATGACTAAATGTGTTTTCAGTTTAAGATGATACCAGCCAAAACTGTAACATTCAGTAATGTAAATCTAAACATACTATATATGAATAAATAAGATTTTGTCACAGGCAGGCAGTACATAACCTGAGAGGCAAAAAAAAAAGCTTTAACCACAAAAACGCCACAGATGGTTTACCAGCTTGCAAAGCTGACCTGAAATTTTTTAGTTTGATGGCCACAGCTGCAGCAAGTTTTCAATTTTTTCTGCGACCTAATTCATTTAAGTGTTTTTCCTACAAACTTTTTTTTTTTTTTTTTTTTTTTTTAAACAAACCTTTTAAAACTTTAGGTTATGTTCATACTTCCATTTTCTATATTTAAATTCATATACATTTCAAATTTCATTTTCCTTTTGCAGGTGAAGATCAAGCAAGGATACATTTATTTCATCACTTTGTAATCAGCATGTGTTGTCATTCTCTCCTGCAGGTGACGACTGTGAAACAGTAATTAAAGTACAACGCAACACACTTTACGAGGCCTTTGTTGGACAAGAATTTACCATGAACTGCACAGTTTCTTTCTGCAACAGTTCACCACCATCAGTGTCCTGGCACAAAGTTGATCAACCTATTGACCCTGTTAATGTCAGCAGTGGCAGTCACATTAAAACAGAGTGGAAAGAGTTAAGCCATTCTGAAGGGACGTCGTATTTGATCTTCCAAAAAATACTCGTCAGTGACTCAGGTCTGTATCAGTGTCGAGGTGGAGATGGTGTGAGTCACAACATCAATGTGTCTGTCCATGGTGAGTGATGCTTTCTGCACAGCAGGACTGTATCTATACTGGACAGGACAGAAAACTGTTCTAAAACTGAATGATCATTTTTGTGGCTCAAACAATCTGTGTGTTTTTCAGGTGTCATCACAGATGAAACCTCCACAGTTCTGTGGACGACTTTAGAACAAGGCAAGAATTCACTCTCTCACAGTGGTATTGCTGTCTCACCTTTATGTCATGACAGTTGTCACATCAATCCCAAAAAATTTTTTTTAACATGAATTCAGTTTTCATACATCTGTGCTTCTTTAAGTCAAACGTCCTCTTCTGATTGGCAGGGGGCGTAACAGCTAAGAAAACGTTCTGGCCGTGTGTGTACCGTGTTGTTGGAGTCATGGTGTTCGCTGTCATTGTGATAGCTGTATGTCTTACCACAAATCAAGGGTGTAAAGGTGAGACTTTTTGATTTTTACTTACAGTGACTATTTGGTTCCTCAGGGTCAGTCAGCACTGTGCTCTGAAGTGAACAGTGAAAAACTGATTAGAAATGCAAGAAAACAATAAGAATAAAAATATAATACTGTGCTTATTCACTATCATGATTCTGGGAACAATAACTGACCTCACCTGATGTGTACCTCAGGTGTCTGTCGCGCGGGAGAATCCACGAACGCGCCAGATCCAAGCTGCCAGCCTTCCCATGTGGCCTCCCCTACCATTCATATCTATGAAAACAATTGCTCTACACCTTGAAATCAATCCGCTAAGTTCAACCGTACGATATCAGGGCCATGATTGATATCAAAACATTTCATATTAATCATTTCAAGACCGGAACTTATATCTGATAGATCACATTTTTACTGATTTCTGCATCAAATGAGTCAATCAGCGCTATGTTTTGTTATTATTATGCTTTGTATTGTGATGTAATGTCTTTTCAGAATGTGAGATGATGATTATTGATTACATTGAAATGCTTTTGAATTTCCTGTAAATCAAGCTGTTAGAACACAGAAGTTTCATACATGAGAAACCGCTTTTGTGTAAACTACCACAACTGTGTGTGTGTGTGTACGTGCAATGTAACACATTAACAGGTAAGTAGTTTTGTTTCCTGTATAGGTGTCGATCTTTGTGCACACATCTGCTACAGATGCCTCTTTTGAATGTGATTGCTTGTCTATATGGGTGTTTGTTGCACCTCTGTTCAAATGCTCTCTGGTGTTGATGATTGAAGTAGCTTTTTCTTCTTCGGGTTCAGTGTCTGATCTGCATTTGGAGGCAGACAGACTGCCGACTGACAAGCAGGAAGCAGAATTAAACCACTCATCATGTCATGTAAAAACAAAGGAATGGAAGTTGTTTTACAGTGGGAGACATGAATCGTAAACAAACCGCTAAACTCATCATCAAACTGGAGCTCAGATTCCATCCAGCTGTTGATGCGCTGATGTTTCACTGAAAAATATTTATTGCATTTTTAAATGTTATTTTTTGAGTAAAAAAAAATGAAGACATCAACCTCAAATAACTTAATGTGCATAAACAGATATAACGTAATACAAAAGAAAATTTAACAAAGGTATTTGTCGTCGAATTTGAATACAAATGTCAATTTGCATTAATAAATTACTTTAAATCCAGACATAAAGTCTGACACATTTCTCCATGAATCACCTTTGACGGCGTTCAAACTCTTCACAAGATCAGAATCCAGGAAATGACACCTTTCACTTCAGACTGAAACCAGCTGCAATCTCAATAAAAGAACTGAACTGATCTCCACAGCATCCTGTGAATTTTCTAAAGGTCACAAAATAGAACGTCTGCAACAGGAACCACCTTAAAAAATGACCCTGAAAGTGACATGAAAACAATTATTTGTCATTTATTGAAAGATAGTTGAATGTAAATTAAAAAGCATAACTTTTATGATGCATTTTATGCCACCTTAATACTTAATCATCCATTATAAGCTTTACATCCATGCAATGACATTACATTTATAGCAGCTGTTTTGCCCCTTGAATGAGAACTTGTGATTTTGTGGCAACAGAGCGGTAACCATATTGATCTCTCTGATAATTTTTGTTGTTGATTGGTAAGATAAGATAAAAGAAAGTTTTCAGCTGCAAACGAGGTGCAACGTGAAACAGGTCGCCGCCCGAAACACAATTAAAGAGTGATTTGAGTGAAGAATGAACCAGTGATAGGAAGCGGCTGTATGAGGCACGTGGAGCAGCGTGGCCTGTGGGAAGTACTACCTCTGTGGTTAAAAAGTGCTAAAATATACATTGCTGCACTGCCTGAACACACGCACACACATGCACTTACTTTTGATAAACACCCCACCCAGAATGCTACATCGCCCACCAACTACTGTATGACGCATGCAGGTGGAGACAAATTGCCCCCTTTAAAAAAAAAAAAAGGAAGTTCAAAGAGTTTGAGTGTGTGTGTGCAGTGGGGGTGTTTTTTAGCTGTCAGATTAATACATGTTCATTATGTTATTTTTGGTGCAATGGAGGCGCATAGAAAATATGAAATAAGTCTGAATGGGAAAACTTGAAAACTCTCTCTTAAAAGCAAATCAAAAAGGACGCCATCTCGTGTTGCAAAAGAGAAACTCAGTATTCTGTACTTTAAATGCAACTGGCCAGCTGATATCTACCTTTTAACCTAGGTGATACAGTTGTTGACTGTTCAACAAAACCCTTCAAAATCCTAAAAAGAAAGGCGATTAATAATATTGCAATCATTATTTCCTATGAGCATGACTCCATTAATATATAAAAGTCACCAAGGGACAAAAAACAATAACACACTATTGATTTTATAGTGAGTTCACACAATGTTAGCGCAGTTTCCTCCAGATAAGCCTCTTTGTTATTGTTAATAGTCAATTTATTTGCTTTAATGACATCAGTGTGACTGATACCATCAAAATAAATCTGTCAAATGCCTCTCAGTGCCTCAAGCAACTACTTCCCGTTCCTGTCTTTGTGAGGTTTATGGAGACTTTAAGGAGAAAATATCATTCATTTACTGTACATGAATGGTGTTTGGAGAAAACTTTACAATGAACCAAATCAGACTGCAGAGAGTATTTCCAAAACAGGATTAATTCCTTTTGAAAAAAAAAAAAAAAAGGTAGATGCTGGAAACAATGTGGTTCATTTTGGACAAATTATTGAGCATCTGAGTAGTTTTGAAAGGCGCCAGCATTCGGTAACTAAATTAATTCCGTGATCAAAAACTAAAAGACAGGTGATTATGACTTTTAAAACATTTTAAGGAACATTAAAAACAGTTACATCCTGTTGTCTTCAGGTTTCACTTTGTGCATAGATTTCCAGACTTTCTAAATGTCCAAAATGACAATTTACTGTCTAAAAGCTGAAATGACATTTGTGAAACTGGGTCTAAGTACATTTGAGACTATTTTAAGCTTTAAATATTTGCATTAGTTAGTCATGGATCAGTAAAAATAAAAAGCCATTGTGTATTCACAGTGTCTGCAATTGAAAAAGTAAAGTCACTGGAGTGGGCTGCAGAGGAAGTGCGTTTCCTATTGTGTAACTGTATCACCCACAGTCTCAACACATCATAACCCAGAGTTCAGATACAAATTTAAGGTTTATTTTTGAGAAAACACCTACAGCTGATAAAAATAATCAGTGAGACAAAAGTAGATAAATGTTTTATTTGTTCCAGCTGGTGCCGAGGGGGATCAGCACCAGTACAGGAAACCATTAATCAACTCTTACACATACTACAAAGTGAATACTGTTCAAAAACAAAACACCCTTGACACCGAGGACAGAAATATTAAAACGGAAAGGGAAGGGGGAATGTGGAAAAATTGAATGTTTTACAGCAGCTTTAGTATTTTCGCTAAGTTTTCTAACATCACTGTAGGTACGTATCAAGATTTAAACCTTATAATCATCTTAATATACAGACTTCAATGTGAAAGTAGATGTTAAGTATAAATGTAAGCATCCAACAGCTATGTTAGAATACATGATCTTTTTTTTTCTTTTTGAGAAATGAGATTTTCTACAAAATTAACATCACTGTACACAGCCCATGAAGGCCTATATTAATATTTTATGCAAATAAAAGACTAAACTCTAACACTGGTGCTCTCCATGGTTTGACTCTGAAAGTCAGGAAATACTGTACATCAATGCAAACAAAAGCTTGCACGCACGCACACACACACACACTCCAGATTTTTTTTTCACTTTCAGATCATACACACACACACACAAAAAAAAAAAAAAAAACGAGACACAAACACCTCCTGTTACTGTCTCACATACATCAGATCAGTGATTTACAACTGCGGTTTGATCCACACAGGAATCGTTTGGGCGGTGTGAACCACAGAGCGCACGTCGACCACCCTTCTGTCCCGCACAGCAGTGCAGCTATTAATACTGTAACAAACTTGTCATTCTTTCCCACTCAAACCATCCTCGCAGTGAGTCATACAGAGCGGGGTCAGACTTTAGCCTCAGTTCCACCGCTTCCTTTTGATTTCCTGTAACTCGCAGGTCTAAATCACAAGAGGCACCCTCTTAATCATCCTTCATCTCTATTTGACAACCACAAACTGGGGGCGGGGGGCGTGGGGGGCTTTCAGGTGATGTAACACTCCGTGGTGGCCATTAGGAAGGTATCTCTATACATTTTCAAGCACAGTAAAGGCCCTGAAAGACTATTTTCTCAGTCAGCTGTGAGTGATGTGGGTCCTACATGATTTGAGTGCTATTTGTGTTTTTGTCTGTGTTTGAACTTTTTTTTTTTTTTTTTTATGATTTATTGATTTTTTTTTAAACTTACAATCACTGTTCATAACTTTTGGGACATCACTGTGGCACACATATTTAAAGGTCCCATATTTTACAAGTGTTGATTCATAAGAAGATATAGTTTTACATCTCCTCTCTCAGACTTCTCTCTGGAGCTCGAGTAACAACAGGTCGGTGAGCCAATCAGAAGAGTGATTGAATAAACGAACTAATAAACCAAAAAACCAAATCCCGTAAGATTGGATGGTGGGTCCGGAGGGGGGGCTTTGGGTGTGGCTGAAAGCTGTGATTGTTTTGTTGTGACATCACAAAGTTCAGGAAGTCCTCACAGCTCGTTTTAGGGCTCAGTTTCTAAATACAGGCTGTGTGCATTTCTCTGTGGACTGAGCGCTTTGATACTTTTACAGTAGACCTGCTTCATAATTAAAAAAAGACCTTTAAATAGCCCAAGGTGTTCTGAAAAAATATATGAATTACTTGCTTTTAACTGACAGTGCTGAGTTTTTCCAAACCTCTATAAAGTAAAAGATCTGCAGCAGCAGAAATAGGGAAAAACAAGGCAAAGACCCAACAGTTAATTTAGTTCCATCTACAAGATATTAGTTGATTTTTTAAAATGAAGCAGATTTTCTTTATAATGATAATAAAATAGTGATGATAATTATAATAATCTCCCCAACGAAGTCAAAACACTTCAATCTAAGTGAGCAAACTCATGCTACAACCTAAATTAAAAAAAATATAGAACTTATCATACACCCACTGCAATAATCTTCTAAAGTTTGGAGTGTATTGACCCCAACCACTGCACCTCCATGATGGCACAAGGTATACTGATAAAACCCTCTATTCTCATCATAAGGATTTCCTCAATCATCAAAGCAACCTTTCAACTGTGAGTGTAAAATCTAGCATTAAATAAAGTGGTTTTTAGTTCTTCTTACTAGCAGTATCTTCTCAGCTCATGGAAGCAGAACCAGCAGTGTTGCTGGCTGCGCTCTGTGAAAGCTCTGTTCCCTTCCATCGAGGGCACGGTGCTGAGCAGCTAGGTCAGGCCCGGAGCTCTGCTGGACCTTCATCAAAGCAGTGGTGACGCATGGGCTCCAAATCAATCTGGACAGGAGGGGAGAGACACACAGTTAGCTGGTCAGGCCGGCAGGAGCTTTTCACAAATCTTTCATTTCCCTATTTGAATTTGATCACACCGGTTAAATCCTTCCTCTGCAGGCTGCACGTCCCGTCAGGCTGCAACATCCCTTTGCTGACATGGTGTCCCTGAGATTTCATCAGTAAAAGGTCAAGCTGGATGACATCAGGTTTTTGGCCAGTCGTCATTATTTACCCATTAGGTGATAGATTCTACTGTTGATCCATGCAAACACTTTAACAATTAAATGTGCTTGTTTATTAAATTTATGAAAATGTTCTGGTTGATTTTTAGATATTTTAGATAACCTTACATCATGAAACTCATGTTTACTCATCATATTTTATGGCAGCGGATGACAACAACAAAAAAAATTATAAAATAAATAGAAACTTTGTTTTTACAAGAAAGTCTAGTGAAGATTGAGACTTTCTCAAGGCAAGAAAACATCATGAGCAGAAGTTGTATTGATGTAAATCCCATAAAGGAATGCAAAAATAAACACAGCCAGCACATACATGTCTGGGCGCGCGGGCGCGCACACACACACACACACACACACACACACACACACACACACACACACACACACACACACAGAGTCCCCAGAACGCCCACTCGGATCCAAAAAGACCACATGCACACAATAATGAAACACTGCAGGAATTCCACAGCCATAATTAAATGCCTGCCACACCTAAATGTACATGTGGCAGCAATGTGTGTTATTTTAGAGGTGGCTCATTCAGAAAAAGTCTATAGTGTTGATGATGAATCGACACATGCAGCCTGAGAGCTCACTAGAGTTAAGTCAGCTGTGAGTGACAGCGAATCAATACTGCAGAAAAAGAAATAAGCCCCATTATTAAAGCAATTTTAATGTTTAAGTAGTTTTTTTTATTTTGCAGTGTCGTGACCAGCAGGTGTCACCTTCATCACGTGAAAAAGCTGCTGCTTTTTCTTTTTTTTTTTTTTAAGAGAACTTAAATTGGTGTTCTGTTTTTCTACCTCTTATCTCTAAGGAACAATCGGTGTTACCCTCAGTCCTGCCCTTATGATTCAAAGGGGGGCCATGTTTGTGTGCCGACCCAGGGGTGATTCCTCCCCCGTACTTCCTGCGGTGTTGCAGATTGAAAGGTGCCTCTGAGAACATGTGCTTTCATGAAGAAATGGTTCTTATCTGTGGTCAGCTTCCTGCCCTTGTAGCTGTGCCCACCGCCGTACCTTATGGCCTGTACATCTCCGCCCGGAAAACACAGACACAAATAGCCGAGCGGCGTTTTACTGGAAGAACCTCAGACCTTGACCCCATTTTCCAACCATGGCTGAAGCAAGCAGAAGCTGAATTACACCCACTGATGCAGAGGGAACCACAGAAGTCATTTTGTGGCTCGCAGTTCGACCTCAGCCGCAGACATCACAACTTTTCAGGCCATTCACGGTGGGTTTCCCTGCAACTGAACAGCTCTTACTTTCACACGGCTGACGGCTTTGCCTCTCATTTAGACAGGAAGTGCCCCCACTTACATTAAAGGCCCTAAAAGGTAATTCCTCAATCAGTTTCTTACTCTGAGCAACTGAGTCGTACAAGAGGACAAAATTATATTTCATAGGTTGGGCAGTTTTTTTGTCATTCTGATCATCACTGCCAATTGTTGTAATGTTGATCCATATTAATGCACGTTGAATCATACATGTCTGTAGTGTGAGAAACCCATTGTTGCCCAGTCATCAAGTGTCATATTATTCACTGTGTAGTCCCTACAAGCTGTTGTCAAGGGCGATGACTTAAAGGAAATGACAGAATTAGCTCTGAATAAGGACGGAGGCCTTGATGCACTTTGCATCAAGGCCTCCGTCTTTTCCCCTGAACTACAATCTGAATCCCGTCACAGTAAAAGCCTGTGTTCCTGCCACATCTCATCCAAGCCAAGACTGGGAAGTACAGTATGTGTGTGTCTGTACAGTCAAGTGTGAGAGGGCGCGTTGTTATCAACTGGGCAGGCTGTCAACTATGGGCTCTGGTTCCTCCTTGTCGCTGCCCCCCCCCCCTCCTCCAGGCCCCTAATGCCCCCCTCACACCCACCCCACCCCACACCCCACACCCCACACCCCTCAGTGCAAGGGATTAGACAGAGAAAGAGGGTCTTTTCTTCTGGCTGCTAACTCAAGACAATCAGCGCAACCACTTGTTATTCTGCTCAGGATCCAAAGAGTTGGAAAACGTGGGCCGAGACTTTCAAGCAACGTGGAAATTCTCAAGTTAACGGAAGCTTTATATCCTGAGAAAAAAACTATTTTCATAGCTGCAATCTCAGCCCACAGATACATGAGCAAGTTCTGGTCCAACACAACACTATCAATCACATGCAAACACAGTAACTGAGATTGTCAAGAGTGTCCCTGAGTGTCTCACGACTCAGGGATGTGGTGAAAACACAAACACTCTTAAATCAACAGTGTGATTGAGGCCTTTGTTGCGTGCTACCCATGCGGGCGCCTGGTTTTTTGGAACTGTTTTTGGAACTTGGCATGACGAGGTGACGAAGAACGTAGGAATGAAGGAGATGTGGCAGCAGCTTTCCGCCCTCGGCGTTCTTATCACGCAAGAAAACAAGGATGAGGAGGAGCTGGAGGAAAAACTCATTAAGCACTTTGAGCTTCTGATTAAAGAGAGGTCTATTTAGGAAATGCATTGCTTTAAAAGAACTTTTGGGCTGTTGAGAAAACCTTTTATGGGTATTTGTTGGGATTTCTATTTGTGACACAAAACCCAATATTCAAGCTAAATTCCATGTTGCTAAATTGAGAATAGCTGTGGGACCGTCCTAACCTTGATTACTTTTCTTCCTCAACTCTTGTTTGGCCAGCAACAACGTCAGCCGAAGCCTCTGTCATTGCTCGGCTAAGTTCGGTTGTCCCTTTCTCTCCCCGGTGGGCAGAGAATTTATGATAAAGGGGAATCGGGCAGCGCCACACGCCACATTACGCAGCTGGCAACCGCACTGTTTCCACGACACCCGGAAAAGATAGCGGGGAAAGGTGCTGACAGGAGTCAAAGGAGCGTTGATGACACATGACCAAGCGTCCACCCTGGCACCTCTGTGTGGAAAGTAACTGACGGTTGACATTTGCAGTGTGTTTTCGGATGAATGTGAGGCATTTCATGCTTTCTTCTTATGGTTTCTTTAAACCTTCATTAAAGGCACAGTTGTAGTCTTGTGTCAAAAGCAACTTTAAAGCTCCCTTCTAAAGTGTCTGAGGGAGACTCACCCTCCTAACCAATCAGAGAAGCCCAAAGACATGGGGTGGGAGCTGAAGTCTGTCAATCAATACTGCTCAGGCTTCAAGCTCGTATCAGCTGCTGGAAGACATGGTGGTGGCTGATGGTCTCCACTAACTCCTGAGGGAAACATCAGGCTCTTTAGCTGCTAAACGCTCCACTTTGTTCACCAGATAGTTGTTCGCTTTGTCCGTCTGCTGGTTGGTGCTGGGCAGGTCGGCGCACAGTGGATTTTTTTTTTTTTTTTTTAGAGCTTTGTCACTGAAAACAGTTGCAGGGCGTAAAACCATAACAGTGAGCTGAAAGACCATGTAGTCATGTGAACCATTGTTAAATTAAAAATATTGATGTGAGCAGGTTTACGTGGATCTTTGAAAAGGAAACATGTTTAATCAGTCAGACTTTGGCTGTGGCACTGTAGTTCGTGGAGGCTGCGCTCGGTGTGTCAAGGGCTCATAAAATCTCAGGATTTTTTCTGTTTATGGAACCAGAAAAAATGTGAACACTTCATCATAATCACTACAATGACAAGAGGCACTCAGAACTTGGCCGGCGCAACAGGCCACAAGAAAAACAATGAGCTGGACATCAGCTGAGTGTTTTTTTTCTCCCATGTAGTAAAGAAATGCCCATAAAGAAGACTATAATCTTAAAATACTCAGTATTTTTTTGTTAATTTCTATAGCCCATGAAACTCCCAACCTATAGATACACTCACAACAGGAGTTACAGTCATGTTTCTCTTTTGCAACCACCCCCTCCACTTCCTAAAATGCCTCTGGAAAACCACTAGAGAACAGGCATGACCCTGTTGTTTTTTGAGCTATTTTAGAGCAGAGTAAATCAAAGTGTAATAAGTAACGACTTGACAAATGTGGACAGAGAGTAAACGTTCAGTTCACAACTCACCTTCAGTGCAGATGAAGCACTTGCAGAGACACACACACAGACAGAGGAGGAGAACTGCTGCCACACCGCACACAGAGAGGAGGATAACCGTGGCTGGACCCACTGCAGCACACACACACACACACACACACACACAAACACACGCTTACATTTACTCCACAGAGCTGTTTATGTTTTAAAGTACAGCACGTGAAATGTACAACATCTGGACTAAAACATGCAGGAGAATAACACTTCTTTTACGTGGGAAAAAAAAAAAAATTCTTCCCGTATGCTGTGGCATTACAGGATTCAGGATGGTATCAAAGCAGCCATAATTACCTGTGACTAAAATAGCTGAGAATACACACATGGACAAAACAAACCTTGTTTCCACCACACCTCAGCATGAAAAGATGGGGAGCATGACTGGTCCACAGTTTGCAACATTCTGAGACAATACAACTGTGGTCTGCTTCTTGTGCTGCTTTAACACCTAAAGTTTCCTTCCCTTTAAAGTAAACATGTCGTGCTTTTATTCTCCTGTGTTGATTGCACACGATTTTGGTTTTATGACCAAAAGTGTTTCCCTGTTTCCTGAGCGCCTTTAGTTTAGTGGTTCTCAAACTTTTTCACATCAAGGACCCCTAAACTGACAAAAATTAGACGGATGGACCCCCATTTGATAAGATTTTGCCCCAGGGTCACCCATCTCATAAGATTTTTGCTTTTAGATTATTTATTACAGAAAGTGTTTATAACCCATGATCTGTCATTGTGTTACATCCATTTATATATTGTGAATTTATATTGTGTTTTCATTACTTTCTCACTTCCTGGCCGCTTCTTTGATACTGACATATAATTATTAGATTACTCAGCGGGGTACTTCCAGTGGTAGGACAACACTATATTGATTATTCCTCACCATGTTTGTTGAGGGACACCGTCATGGGTTTCTCCAAACCCTGGTGGTGCACGATGCACTTGACGGACAGGTCGCTGAGCAGCCCTGATTGGAAGAGAAGCGTGCTTGTCACTATGGTGGTGCCGTCGCCCTGATCGTAGGCGGAGGAAATGGGTGGTCCGAGTGTTCGGTTGTCCCCGCCGATGTTCCACATGATTTCGGCCGCAGGGCGGGACTGGGCGGTGCAGTTGGCCTCGGTGATCCCTGAAGATGTGGTCACGTGGCTCACCTCTGGTTTGGGTAAAACTGGAGAGAGAAGGGTTATGTTTAATAGATTATTCTGATATTTTCTTTTATTAACTGCTGAGCTGAAAAAGTTGATTTCACTTTCAGTCCAAGTGCAATTGGCCACAAATTTAATGTCTGAGCTCGTCAATCACAGACAACAGAAAAATGTTTGTTCCTGTGCCTTCGTAATGGAGATGGAGAGACAGAGCACATCGCCTGTCAATCTCTGCCCCAAGGACACAATGACACAAGTCGTCCTGGAAACAAAACCCAGACAGAGAACAGAGGCTGAGCAGCTTTTACTGACTCTGTGTTTGTGTGTCTGGATCTTTGGTTCCATCAGTTTAGACAGAAGCAAAGCTTGTTTAGCAGAGCAAGGAGGACATACACACACCTACCTACACACACACACACACACACACACACACAACAACACCACACACACACACACACACACACACACTGAGGCCTTGTGTCTGGGGAAACAGTGAGCCACTCATCCCCTGGGCTTTCACCCAAATTAATCACCCCATTCCTCTCGGTGAAACCCTTCCTTCTGTCAACACTATCACTCCAAAAACACACGGAGGAGGATCAACAACCACTCACGCTCCTGGAACGTTTGCTTACCACTTCTGAAGTTACACTCTTGTCTGACTTTGTGCTTTACACCTCTCTGGTGCTGTAACAGGGTTGGGGGGGGGGGGGTTTGGGGGGGGGGGGGGAGGCGGGGTTAAGTGTTGGCGATGGGACAAGAAGTGCTGTCACCAAAGCAGGTCAGAACAGTAGTTTAATGACCCACTACAGCAGCTCTGGTTTGTTTATACACAGTGCTTCCCTTTCCTGTGCTGTATTTGGAATGCACACACACACACGCACACACACACACACACACGTTTCCTCTCAGCCTACAGTATACTGAAGTACAGTGAACATAACTGGGGCTCAGACATTGTTTCATATCATTTAAATTCCTGGCTGCATCATTTTTTCCTCCTTGCAAATGAAAAGTAACAAAACACGGAGCAGTGGGACGGACGGAAACATCAACTCCACATTGCTCAAACCCCGTAATTATCTGACTTGTTTTGAACAATGTCTGGAAACAGCTAAACAGCTAGGTATTTCCAGAAATAGCACACATCGTTTGACAGCATCACCTGAGTGAGTCATTTACCAAAAGATTAAAGGAGCCACAACAGTGTTTGTCATTGCTGTTAGACTGCGGTCACATTGTTTGTGTTTTGCTGTACATATTTTTTCTCTGAGAATTGGGATGAGTGAGCGCATATGTAAATAGGTGTGTGCCAGGACGAGCCGGTGATTGGTGGGCAGCATTGACACCTGCAGCTGATTGGCTCCTGTCAGATGTCCTCCAAATATGAGGAACTAAGACGTTCGCGGCCGAGCTGCAAGGGAAGAGAACTGCATCTACCTCCGGTTCCAACCGGCCACACCACTGTTCGCCTCCATTCAACTTTTGCCATAGGTTTTTCGTTGCATTTTGAGAATTCGTACGGGTGGACTGTCATTTTCTTTTAACTGCCCTTTCTCCTGTTTTTGTAGTCAGGACGGTTAGTTGATGTACGTTTGAAACCAGTTAACACCCACTAGTACTAATATGTTCCCGTGGCTACCTGGGACTTGGGGAAGATGGGGTATTCATGTGGTGTCTTGGCCTTGTATCTTGTTTTCTTGAGCTATTGTTTGTGGTTAATGGGTTTAAGAAGATATGTAAAGATATTCTTTACATATTATAGCACCATATATAACGCCACAGCAGAACGTTAATTTTGTGCCCAATTACACATTTTATATGAAAGCTCTCTATGTTTACCCTATGACTTCTTTCTTGTTCTACTCTTCTTGGGGTAAACATGCTAAAAAAGTACAAAAAGTTTTGTTTTCTTTGGTTTATTACAAATGACATCACCAGACTCACCATAGACCGACAGGCAGGAGGTGGCACTTCTGCTGCCGTCTGGGTATGTGTGGAACTCGCAGGTGTAGCAGGCCTCGTCCTCCGTCGCGACAGACTGGATGGTCATCTGGGTCTCACCCAGAGTCCGGCTCAGGCTAACTCGTTCCCTGAAGGGCTCCTCTATGTTGTGGTGGCCTTTCTTGCTGTAGGAAGCCACGGTGGTGGTGTCGCCCTGCTCAGCCGTCTTCCTCCACAGCACCTGCTGCACCCTCTCAGGGAGGCTGTACCAGCAGGAGAGGGTGGCCGGCTGTCCGCTTATGGCTGTCTTGTTGCCCACTTGCCGCACCTTACCTGGGGTTAAAGAAAGAACTCCTGGCATCAGCTGTGCTATGAAAGTTTTATAGCACTGGCTTGTGTGCAGGTTCAGGGGAAACAAGAAGGAGTCAGGCAATAATAAAGATTTAATAGTAACAACAGGAAGTGCCAAGGGGAGCTTTCTCTCCTGCTGATCTGGGCCCTCAGACATTAGTATAGTACTTCCTGTCTCAAGGCATTCTGGGACTCTCTGAACCTCAGTGAGCTGCACACAGGCAATGTGACCAGACTTCTCCAAATAAACACCCTTGCAAAAGGTTGTGTCGTTATGGAAACAAGAACAAAAGTTCAAGTGTCATGTGAGGTTTAGTTGCAATATGAAGCTTCTCAGACTCACCAGTGACTCTGATGCATGTCCTGCCTTCTTGTGAGCCCGTGGGGTAAACGTCAAAGATGCAGCGGTAGCAGCCCTCGTCATCAGGCTGCACCCTCGTGATGGTGATGTAGCTGGCATCGTTGCTGGAGGCAGTGAGCTGCACACTCGGGTGTTGATTGCTGATGAGGACTTGCACGTTTTGTTCGTAGGCCAGGAGGGTCTTGTCGTGCCTGTTGAGCCAGCGGACTTGCCGGACGGTGTCTCCTGTTGCCACGGTGATGTTGCAGCCAAGCATGAGGGGGCGACCGGCCTCTGCGGTCAGGCTGGCAGACTGGGCTATAACCTCACCTGACGTAGGACGAAAACAGTAATCAAATCTACATATCAATTTTAAACATATTCACGATTAACATACCGCCTGCCTTTTGGGGCATTGTGCAACTTGCTTGAAATTTAATAAACCAAAAAAAAAAAGAAAAGCACCAATTGAATGTAGATCATACCATGAGTCCTGAATACAGCCACTCCTACTGTCCACAGCAGCAGACTCAGGGAGAGGGCAGGTCCATACATCGCTCACTGAAGCAGGGTTACCAACTCACTCGCTGAGCCAGTCTCACATCCAGGCCGCAGCTGCAAACTCAAACACCGTCAGAGAGCTCCAACAGCTTCAGCCACAACCTAAACCTCACCATGAAACCTCAACATGAAGCCACATGCTTAATGTTGTGGCCACATAGACATGTTTAAACCAGCAGAGAATCAAGTGTGAATCAGTGTGAGGCTGATGCAGATATACCTCTGTCGGCTGTCCAGTGTTCTGACTTGCTGAGCTGCTGCTGGTCAGCACAGTTGTAGCTGCATCTTAGTGGCGCACTGTCTGTTGTAATGGGCAACATGAAGCCAGAGGATTACACTAGCAATGACAGCATCGCCTGAGCATCACAATATTACACTCTTTGATTAATAATGAATCGAAAATACAAAAAATATGCACAACTAAAACTTTTTTTGGGAGGACATATGTGCATCTGATACTGTGGTAGATTCACTTTAATGGTTGTTGCCATGGTGATGCAATGTGTAAGCATCAACAACAACAGCTGCTGATTCAAGAAACATCACCTAGGGTCTAATGGGAGTTTTTACATGTGAATCCACAGCATGCGCCCTGCCCCGGTAAACCCCGTAATCATCTGGCAGCAAAACAAGCTGCCACTTGATGTGTAGACAGAACCAAACCCATAGATTTCAAAATCAATACTGGAAAGCCAACCTCAAATAAATTACAGTGGCCAGAGGGTGATGCAAGACCAGATGATAAGATATTAGTCATCCAGGTGATCATAACATATGTGAGTTTGTAGTAAAGCAAACGGTGTGCCAGTGGTTGGTTGGTTGGCCATAAACATCTCCCCACTCATAGAAAGATGCTGCTGCAAATTGACTCCAGAACTGACTCCGTATCCTGACCAAAAAGGTGGAAACAGCAGGGATCAAGCATGAACTGGCCTTTGATCAGACTCTACAAGTGGACTTGCTGGGAAAAGAAAAACCCAACCTAAACCACAAGACAGACCAGGTCCAGACCTTGGAGCTTTGTGGGTGTTATTTTGCTCTTTCATGGTGCCAACCATCTGGTTTCAAACACGCAGCTTGCTCCTGTTGGGCAACACTTTCATCACTTTTCCACCGCTAAAACGCTACAGATGTCTGGCTGTTACAAGATATCTGATTCATCAATCAACTGGCAACTTCAATCCTTAAACAATCTGCTCTACATCCAGATGTGCATACTGAGCATTTTCACCACAGCTGGTCCAGCCCCAGATGACAAATTTTATTTGAGATTTCTTGGGCAAATTGCTGAAAAAAAAACACATAAATCTGATCATCTTTCCCACATTTGACAGGAGGAAAAGGCTTTTTCACATAAGCCAATTTTGCCATTGTACATGACAATAATTATATGCATAAAATAGCATGCTGATGCCACAATGTGACATATGAAAAAACACTATAAACACTCCTCTCTTTCTTCATAAAGTTTTATCCAACAGGTGCAACAAGGACAACATTTTGTGAAAAGTTACACTTTCACTACATTAAAATTAATCCTTAAGCTTAATTTTGAGTTTAAGTCAATGAAACATATTTAAATATATAGGTAGATAAATTCATTAGAAGGAAGAAAATAACTACAATGAATAAAAGTTGTATGTTTTTTTCAGTAAAACATGCATAGCCTTAAAACTACCACCTACATCACATCTTTATGTACAATACATTGATTGATGTTTCACCCTGAAGGATTGTCATCACAAAAACTGACTGTAGGAGGGTTGACTGAAAAACTCAAAACTACTAAATTTGCAAGTTATTTCAAACAAGCTTTGCTTGGAACTGAGGTTGTGGAAAATTGTCCATGATAAAAAAAAGACATGAGACTTACCTGCTGACAGTCCACAAACAGTCCACAAAAAGACACAAACACAAAGTTGGCTCAAAGGATTAGAGCTGCTCCCTTTGCTGCAGGTAAAGTGAATCTGGAACAGAACAATCCATGGTTCATACATTCAACTACAACTTACCACTGTTGAGCTCCTGCCGTCGCATTTCAACCCCTGAACTCTCAGACTGCCTCAGTTCTTCCTCAGACATGAAACCTGGAGAAACAGAGACCTCCAGTGACCATGTTGCGCAACTGCTGATGAAAATCTGCATCTAACACCTTGAGCTACTAGGCCAGAGACAATGATATTATATTTTCAGAGTTCTCAGTCTTTCCTCTCAGTGTCCGCCCTCAAAGTTCATATTATTGGCTGACATTTCAACAGATAACTTGTACAACTGCTGTTTTTTGGGCAGCAGCCAAACACCCTTCTGTTCTCTACCCCACTTAGTTCAATCCGGGTTCCCCCTTGTATAAATCCATTTGGATTCACCCACCTCCTGTTTGACAGTCTCACCTTTCACCTTGGCTTGGAGGGAGCATGGGATTAAGGGTACTTGAATCTGTAAAATATCTTGAATACGTTGTTTCACTTCTTGCCAGAATGTCTGTATTTCCGTACTTTGCCAAATACAATGGAAAAATGTACCCAAGTGAATATCTGTAATGTTATAAATGTGAATAAAAGATGAAAGTAATGGATACCATGGTGTGGGACCTGTGGTCACCTCCGGAGCGGGCGACACACTGTCCAGAGACAGTTGAGAAAGATATGTGCGTATTTAACAGAGCGTGTTTGTTTTGTGATGGTGATATAATGAGAGTGTTTTAAATGAGAAGACACTTAAGGAAGGGATGCGAGTATTGTAAATAATGTGGAGTGGTGACTACACAGCTACAGTACATGATGAGCAGTTAATTCCCAAATGAGCTGGCCAGGGCCATTACCTTTTGTCACGGGTGGGCTCCACCTTCCGGTCTTATGGACAGCCGCTGGTCTTTATTAGAAGATTGGTGAATGTGGCACATGGGAGTGTAAAGAGTGAAGAGCTGGAGTTGGAGTGGTCTGCTGGACTGCGCTGGTCCTGGTCTCCTAAAGCGGGACATCTGCATTAAAAGAAGACACAAGCACATGTAGTGACAGACAGACTCTGTAGGCTGAGATGAGGGAGGGTAGGTACTCTGCCTGACATTTGAGCTGTTTCCCATGCGAGTACATATGCAATGGATTGTGAAAGTGTTAGAGTGTGTCTTTGGGGAAGATGTTCCATAGTGCAGTGGTGTAAGGTAGAAACCCTGCAAGCATAATGTCCCTGGTTTGATCGGCACAAGTTGTTTTTGTTGTATATGTTGCTCCATGAGCTGTTAAGAGTGAGAAAGACTGAAGAGCTGACAGAGGAAATAAGAGGCGTTAACAAGCTGTTCCCACACATGTAAAGTGGACTGATGCACAAGCAAAAATACAGTGTTTTCTGCAAAGCCTTATCTCTCAAGTGTGAGAAAATATAATGTGTTTATTTATAAATCTGTTTTGTGTCCAGGCTGCTGAATGAAGAGAGAAAAGGGGCCAGAGAAGACCTGAAGTGCACACAAACACAAATGTGGTGTAAAATTCCTCACCAAAGCACTGTAGACCGTCTTCCCCTCTGGACCTTTGTTTTGAGTTTTCTTTGCCTTTTCCTACATTTCCTATGAAGGATATCATGAGTTAAGATGTTTGAAAGTCAACAGAGAAGCTTGAGCATGTGGGGTGAACTGGGCTTGCTAAATGATATAAGTGTGAATAATTTGGTTATTTTGAATTTGAGAGTACTAAGTTGTGATTTCCTTTGACATGACTTGGAAGTTAATGGAAGAGCTACACAAAGACATTAAATGTTACTTATTTTGATAGTTGTTTAGTGATATTTCATTGAATTGAAGTTACCCAAATGTTTGTACCATGTGCTCCCATCAGTGCTCCCTCCAAGCCAAGGTGAAAGGTCCGACTGTCAAACAGGAGGTGGGAGAATCCAAATGGATTTATATAAGGGGGAACCCGGATTGTACTAAGCGGGGTAGAGAACAGAGGGGTGTTTGGCTGCTGCCTGAAACAGCAGTTGTACAACCTGTACAGTCCAAGCCAAGGTGAAGGGTCAGACTGTCACACAGGAGATGGGTGAATCCAATTTAATTCATAGAAGGGGGGAACCTGGACTCTACTCCATCATGAAAGAAAATGTAATTTGTGCTATTCAATGTTATTTTATTTTATCCTCAATTGCTCATTTTAGTTTTAACACTTACCTTCATCTTGTAGTAAATTTCATGGCAATCTCTGTGCTCATATTAGTGTTCAATAAATACATTCATGAATTAAACAACATAAAACATACATTTATAAAATAGATAAACAACTACCTACAGAGTTCTGGAGGAAAATTCACTTGTCTTTCAGGGCTTTTGTATTATTCCCATTACATATGTGGTAAAATGTTTAAATATGACTACTGATAAAAAGTGTAAATCTAATCATCTTTATGCTATTTTATTTTCAACAAAGTAATGACATGTTTTCACATTAACAACATAATTTGTGGATGTAAATCACACTGACATGATTTAGATCAGATGAGTCCATGAAAAAACAAAAACAGTTAAATACAGGTACTGTAAAAATGGAAAGGTTTGATTTCAGATGAAACTACTGAACTGATTAAACTGCGACCTCCAGTGGTGCAATTTCAGCAGCTGGTATTGAGTCACATTTGGGAATAAATGACATCTGAATACTCACAATAATGGACCTGTCAATGTTTGACAGGTCCATTATTGTTGTGGTTATTATTAATATTATCTGAGCTAATCCCAGCTGACATTGCATGAGGGTGGGTGCACCCTGGACAGGTTGCCAGTTTATCTAGATAACATTAGTCAAAAACAAGTCTTCTTGCTGTTGAAGATGACGGCATATATTTGTTGGTTTCTTGATTGGTGTCCATTGTCAGATCTGATTGTTCTTCTGTGTGACTAATGGTGTTTGGGACCTTAGAATAAAAACAAAATATTTCATTTTCACTCACAGTTTCATTACTCAGTCAATATTACATAAACTAATTGTTATGAACAGATTAGGCGAGTTGGAAGTTATAAAATCTGATAACAGAGAAAGTTGTGACTATGGAAAAAAATTATTTTGCGAGTGCACAAGTGAAGAACGACAATGACATAAGAGTGTTTCATGTATGAATGTTAAAGAATACTGGCAGTATGAAAGTGTCTTACTCAGGAGCGTCTTTGATTGTTCTTTGTGGCGTCTTGTTCCTCTCAGAGTCGCCTTGAGACAGACTGAAGGATTTAAGAAAAGTCAGAGCTGAACAAACAGACATCAGTGATTCATTTCTGGATTTTGTCAGAGGATATGGTTTTAGATGCTCTTTGTAGCTTCTCAGTGTCAATAAATCATCACCTTAGTAAAAAGACAGATACTGAGTCTAAAGCTGAAAATGACCTGTTTCTACATTTGTGTTTGAGCAGGATGTTGATGATGATGATGAAGAAGATGATGATGATGACTGCAGCGACACCAACACAGGCCAACACAACGCTCAAAGTGAAATCTGTGAGAAAATGATAAAATGTGATATGGAACCCTGAACATTCATAAAACAACAACATATTAAATGGGAATCATCAATCAATAAGGATCATCATTTGATTAACAGTGTGTGAGTCTGTAGCTGTGGAAGTGTTTCTCACCATCAGCAGACGTCTGTTTGACCTCAGGAATCATCATAAACACCTCTTTGTGACCAGAGAGCACTCGCACCGCACATCCAACCTGTGCGCTGTTGTCACGGAAACCTGACAGCACAGCTGTAGTGGTGACAGTGACTGTACCATTGCTGTTGTGGACACTGACAGTGTTGTAGCGTGAGAAGTGGAGGTGTGGCTGCGTGACGTTGAGTGTCAGTGTTGGAGCAGGTCGTCCTGTGGCCGAGCAGGACACAAGTGACTCCTGAGTAGAGTTTGATTCTCTAACATGTAGAATGGGTTCATGCAGCTCTGCAGAGGAAAGACATTTAACAAACATGACATGAGTTGAGTTGTTCCAGACATGAGCTTCTGATATGATCCTGTTTGTCAGGTTCCAACTGTAATGCAGTCAGGTTCTTACCATAGAGTTGGAGGCAGGTTGTAGCAGTGACAGCACCGTCAGGGAAGGTGTTAAACAAACAGAGATAGCAGCCTTCATCCTGCTCCATCACCTCTCTGATAACTATGGAGCAGTTCTTCAGTCCAGCATCTTTTATCTCCACTTTCTCTCTAAAATTAAGGGTCACTCTGGAACCAAATCGTTTGCTGTAGGTGGCGACATTCTTCTCCCCCTCAGGTAAAACTTTCTGCCATGTGACCTGAAGAACTTCTTTATGTTGCATGAGCTGACAGCTGAGACGAGCATCTTCTCCCACTGCTGCCACCACAGTCTGCTGTGTCTGTATCACAGCTGTTAGACCTGCATGGAGGAAATGAAATGACATCAGAGTGAGGCATAAACTGTATGTGTGTATCTCTAACAGATTGCTACAGATTGACAGTGTGATTCAAAGAAATGTAATATATGACATATATGGCCCTATATCAAGAGCGATGATGCCATGAATGTCACCTAAGGGGATATATTATAATCCCATACAGTATATACATCCTCTAGATATATGAAGATGTACGTTCATAACCTATAAATACCCATAATTAAAATTGTATGTGTACAAAGGCCAACATTAAAAATATATGATTAATTCTTATATTTGCATAACATGTTGCAAGTGTATTCGTTAAGAATATAGTTAACTTATATCTGCAAGTTTATCAAAACAACATGCATATAAAACTTCTTTATACTTCTATGTTTTTCATATTCATTTTAATGTCTTTGGAATGGATATATATTTACATAACATGTCATACATACATAAACAGATATTTGTATGGGCTAGACATATATGTCAACATATGAAATTGTTCCACTTTACATCTACATATATGTCAACTCAATATATGTACATATATTACAAACAGAATGGAGCTCATCTATCTTACCTTCTGAAAGAAGAGTCAACATAAAACACCCCTGTAGAAATGCACCGTTCGACATGTTGCTGAATAAAACCGCCAATATTCATACCTGTCCTGGACCAACAAAGGCGCGCACAGACAGCTCCATTATTTCCGCAGGTGGGTCTCAGTATCAACACAACAATGTAAAAAGGTGTCTCTAGAACAAATACACACCTGTATAAGTGACACAAAGCATCCAATCAATGTGATGTCGAATAAACAGCTGATTTGATTCAATATTACTTTTCAAAATGTTCTATTAACAGCACATGACGCCTAAATGTCCCCTGATCCACCGCGCGCATTGGAGCGATCCGTTCCCACAATTCATTGGGACAATATTTGGATTTCAGGAATAACTTTCACTTTAGATTGTGTAACGTTGGACCAATACATTCATGAATGAAAAAACATAACATAAATATATGAAATAAATAAACAGCTGAGTTCTGTATTTAAACTAAATCATGCGCAGTCTCAGTGATGGACTTCTAATCTGCCCTGAATGTAAAAACAAATGCCTCAGTTTGACTAAAACCTTCTACCTGACAGGTGACATGATTTAATGTTATTAGGGAGATATTCCTGCATTTATTCAATGAAAACTCTACAATTAATATTATTTATCTAATATATACAGTATCAGATGATAATCCATAAAAAACAGTTAAAAACAGGCACTGTGGAAGTGGACAAGATGGATTTTCCATGAAACTACATCCAGCCTGTGCTGAAGTGAATAAACATTTACCTCCAGTGGCCATGTTGAGCAACTTCAGCAGAAAATCAGCAGCTGGCACTGAGTCACATCTGGGAATAAATGACATCTGAATACTCACAATATGAAAGTTTGACAAGTCCATTATTGTTGTGGTTATTATTGATAGTATTTAACATAATGTCAGTGGCAACAGTACTAATGATTGATTACCAATGTCCAATGAAACATACACCTCTAATAAGTCAACAAAACATCACACTTTCTAGAATCACTCATCTTTATTTTGTCAGATCTTTTCCAGGTTGAAAAATACAGTTTATAAATACATGTAAAAACTGATCAAATGTTATAAAAATAGTAAAAAAGAAAAAAGATCCTCACCATCAGAACTACCTTGGACATTATTCTTCATGAAATGCTGGAATCATTATCCATGAACCAGGACAGACTTGTTGTCACAGTGTAACATTGGGAGCTGAATGTTGTAAAGGGATTTTAATGTAAACTTACAAGGTTTTGTCACAGCACTGAGATATGTTGTCTCTCAAGCTTTGATGCAGTTTTGTTGAGGTTTCAGTATTGCAGCATTGGTACGACCCAGAGGTGAAGTGGGAATAAAAATGGCCCCAAACTCAGATCCTCAGTGGTTCAACATTGGTGTCAGTCCTTGCTTTTTAGTAAACAGTTGACATCAGTCAAGATGAGGTCTTCTCTCTATTCAAGATGACGACCATGGATTTTCACTCTTGATTATTCCCAGTAGGTGTCCGTCTTCTGACTTGATTGTTCTCCTGTATGACGAGAGGTGTTTGGGTCCTTAGAACAAAAATAAAAAATATTTAATTTTCACTCACAATGCTTCATTATTCAGTCAATACTTAATTAACAAATAGGTCTAAACAGGTTATGAACAGAGACGGCCAGTCTCACATATCAGTGTCTCTGTCTGTAGTTTGAGGCATCTCACTCATCTCATGGTCTCTGTGTGACAGACTGAAGGATTTAAGAACAGTTACAGCTGGACAAACATTTATTAACTGTCATAGACTCAGACACAGGAATTACACTGGTTTAAAGACGTACCTGTTGTGATGTTTTTGTTTAAGCAGGACAGTGATGAGCAAAGCAGCAGCAGCACAACCAAAGGCCACTAACACAATCCAAGTCCTGACTTTGAGAGGAAGAGGAAGAATTGATGACATCATTCATTCAACATCTATGAAGCAACAACAGATGAAATGAGAGCACTGACTTGAGAGTCTGTAGCTGTGGAAGTTTCCCACCATCAGCAGACGTCTGTTTGACCTCAGGAATCATCATAAACACCTCTTTGTGACCAGAGAGCACTCGCACCGCACATCCAACCTGTGCGCTGTTGTCACGGAAACCTGACAGCACAGCTGTAGTGGTGACAGTGACTGTACCATTGCTGTTGTGGACACTGACAGTGTTGTATTGTGAGAAGTGGAGGTGTGGCTGCGTGACGTTGAGTGTCAGTGTTGGAGCAGGTCGTCCTGTGGCTGAGCAGGACACAGGTGACTCCTGAGTAGAGTTTGATTCTCTAACATGTAGAATGGGTTCATGCAGCTCTGCAGAGGAAAGACATTTAACAAACATGACATGAGTTGAGTTGTTCCAGACATGAGCTTCTGATATGATCCTGTTTGTCAGGTTCCAACTGTAATGCAGTCAGGTTCTTACCATAGAATTGGAGGCAGGTTGTAGCAGTGACAGCACCGTCAGGGAAGGTGTTAAACAAACAGAGATAGCAGCCTTCATCCTGCTCCATCACCTCTCTGATAACTATGGAGCAGTTCTTCAGTCCAGCATCTTTTATCTCCACTTTCTCTTTAAAGTCAGGAGTCACTCTGGGACCAAAGTGTTTGCTGTAGGTGGCGACATTCTTCTCCCCCTCAGGTAAAACTTTCTGCCATGTGACCTGAAGAACTTCTTTATGTTGCATGAGCTGACAGCTGAGACGAGCATCTTCTCCCACTGCTGCCACCACAGTCTGCTGTGTCTGTATCACAGCTGTTAGACCTGCATGGAGGGAATGAAACGACCTCAGATGTGAGGCTTAAACTGTGTCTGTATCTGCAGTATCAAAAGTTTCATTTGTAATTCAATAAGAAACAAGTTGGTGATGAAATGAGAAATGTTACGAGTGACAAACCTTCAAGTCTACTGTAGTTCAATAACTATAAAACCATGTAACACACAACAGAACTCATGTTTCCTACCTTGAAAATAAAACCCCAACACATAAAGGAAGTAGAGGACTGCACTGTTTGCCATTGCTGCTTCATGTGCAACAAGCTTCAAATGAACAGGAGAGATAAGACAAGGGAAGGGTTGACCATGGTACCCAGAAGTGACAGTTTCAAAATAACGTTGAAAATAAACTGTAAGAAATAAACGGCCACATACCAGCAACAGCAAAACTGTAGCTCTGCTCTAGTTGAATGGTTTGGGAGGCTCCTCTTTTAGGACAAAGTCTTAGTAAAGCTGAAACCAAAAACTGGGTGGGATCTCAAAATGTGTCAATGGTTATTTCATGACTAGTTTCAAGAAAGCACATTTAGACTTTTCCACCATGTTCTGATCAACCTTTTTTATGTTTTTCTGATATGAAAACTATTTCAAGCTTACCAACAATATGAGGGGAAATACAAAGATAGCATGAGAACTATCAGATCTGACAGTTATTCAGTGTCTAAGTGTCGTGTTAGTTGTGAAAACGAGGCTAAAATGTAATTTCTTATCACCTCCGTCCAAATCTTTATTTCTCTTGTCTCTGGTTTGAAGCCATGAAAGAGGGTCCACTTCCTCCTTCATCATGGCCTCCGGAGGATCCATCCCACTTCTGCCTCATGTGAGTCTGTTTGTGTGAGACTCAGTGATCAGGTACAAATGGATGATGATGATGATGATCTACATGGTTCAGACTCAATAAAATTGACCACTTACATCATAAAACACCAACACAGCATATTGTGTTAACATAGTGTTACAACAGACTCAACAGCAAATGAAATAAAGAGAACTGTGAGAGAAGTGGGGTCATTAAAAGTGCTTTACAAAAGACATCAAGACAAGATGAAATCACACGACATACAAATATACAGAAGAAAGAGAAGAAAGATCTAAATTTTATGGCAAACAGTATAAAAACATGATCATAAAAACTGACTACAATCTTTTTTTTGGTCTGGAGATATGAGATTAATATTGTACAGAGCTTTCACTTTTTTTACCAACACGGTCTTTAATGCAGTCTGAATAATGGATGTTACTAGAACAGTCTTTTTGGTGTCAGATCCGATGGTTTCAGGTGGACGCTGTTTAGACTTTTCTTCGTCGACGTCCCCGTCCGTTGCCTCACATGCTCGTTCTCTTGCTTGATTAAAGGTGTTTTGTTCCTTCAGATAAAAACAAAACGAGATTCATAATGTCACATCATGTTGCACATATTTCTATGAAACTACTAAATCAGTCTGCACGACATTTACTGTATGTGGATAAACTTCTAGAAATGGCTCCGAAATTCATAGAGAATGAAAGAAGCAAACTGAAAAGAAAAGAAATAATCAGTCTGATTATCAGACTAGTGAAGGCAGATTAAATCACATGCTGAAGAAGTCATAAATAACAAACATGAACAAGTGATGATTATGAAAATGTCTTACTCAGGAGCGTCTTTGATTGTTCTTTGTGGCGTCTTGTTCCTCTCAGAGTCGCCTTGAGACAGACTGAAGGATTTAAGAAAAGTCAGAGCTGAACAAACAAACATCAATGATTCATTTATGGGTTTTGTCGTAAAATGTTTTTAGATGCTGTGTACTGTAATAAGTCATCACCATAGTAACAAGACAGATACTGAATCTACAGCTGAAAATTTACCTGTTTCTACATTTGTGTTTGAGCAGGATGTTGATGATGATGATGAGGAAGATGATGATGATGACTGCAGCGACACCAACACAGGCCAACACAACGCTCAAAGTGAAATCTGTGAGAAAAATGAGAAAAATGTGATATGGAACCCTGAACATTCATCAAGCAACTACAGATCTAATGGGAATCATCAATCAATAAGGATCATTATTTGATTATCAGTGTGTGAGTCTGTAGCTGTGGAAGTGTTTCTCACCATCAGCAGACGTCTGTTTGACCTCAGGAATCATCATAAACACCTCTTTGTGACCAGAGAGCACTCGCACCGCACATCCAACCTGTGCGCTGTTGTCACGGAAACCTGACAGCACAGCTGTAGTGGTGACAGTGACTGTACCATTGCTGTTGTGGACACTGACAGTGTTGTAGCGTGAGAAGTGGAGGTGTGGCTGCGTGACGTTGAGTGTCAGTGTTGGAGCAGGTCGTCCTGTGGCCGAGCAGGACACAAGTGACTCCTGAGTAGAGTTTGATTCTCTAACATGTAGAATGGGTTCATGCAGCTCTGCAGAGGAAAGACATTTAACAAACATGACATGAGTTCAGCTGTTACACTTTCTGCCATGTTACTTTGCATCAAATATGTAAGTTGGTGTATGGGGTGAAAGAAGTCACCTGCAACCGGTGATGTGCACAATGACGCAGGAATGTGTCACTTTTCATGCCACAAAAGAAAGAAATTGCAATAACTGAAGCATTGTGCACCTGTTCAGCTACGAATATGGAAGTAAATGCACATGGACATAAAACCTTTGGCCTTATGGAGGCTGAGGTGAGTTCAGGTTCAGACACTGAATGAAATGCCCTTTTGTGACAGTCTGAGTGATACAAGTGAGTGACTGGATGAGCAGATTTTACACACATTGTGAATGCAGAACATATATTTTGTGGCCTAACGTGATGCAATTTCTTGCACAAAACAAAACTGCGTTTCATGGCATAATGATGGAAAGCAGACAAATAAACCCCCACCATTTGCAGCTGTCACCTCAAGGTGGAGATGAACGTTATGAAACGGGCTCAAGTGTTAATTCACCGGGGGAAATATTTTTGTGTTGGCATTACAGTCAGGATGTCAGGTTGCAAAATTGTATATGCACATGCAAACAAACACCAGTACATACCATACAGCATGAGGCAGGTTCGGCCAGTGAGAGCACCATCGGGGTAAGTGTTAAATAAACAGCGATAACAGCCTTCATCCTGCTCCGTCACCTCTCTGATAACTATGGAGCAGTTCTGCATTCCAACATTTTTGATCTCCAGTTTTCCTTGAAAGCCAGAATTCACCCTTTGGCCAAAGTATTTGCTGTAGGTGGCGAGATTCTTCTCCCCCTCAGGTAAAACTTTCTGCCATGTGACCTGAAGAACTTCTTTATGTTGCATGAGCTGACAGCTGAAACAAGCCTCTCCTCCCACTGCTGCCACCACAGTCTGCTGTGTCTGTATCACAGCTGTTAGACCTGCATTGAGGAAATGAAATGACATCAGATGTGAGGCATAAACTGTATAGTTAACTTATATATCCAAGATTATTAAAACAACATGCATATAAAACTTCTATGTTTTTCATATTCATTTTAATGTCTTTGGAATGGATATATATTTACATAACATGTCATACATACATAAACAGATATTTGTATGGGCTAGACATATATGTCAACATATGAAATTGTTCCACTTTACATCTACATATATGTCAACTCAATATATGTACATATATTACAAACAGAATGGAGCTCATCTATCTTACCTTCTGAAAGAAGAGTCAACATAAAACACCCCTGTAGAAATGCACCGTTCGACATGTTGCAGAATAAAAGCACCAGAAATTCAAACCTGTCCTGGACCAACAAAGGCGCGCACAGACAGCTCCATTATTTCCGCAGGTGGGTCTCAGTATCAACACAACAATGTAAAAAGGTGTCTCTAGAACAAATACACACCTGTATAAGTGACACAAAGCATCCAATCAATGTGATGTCGAATAAACAGCTGATTTGATTCAATATTACTTTTCAAAATGTTCTATTAACAGCACATGACGCCTAAATGTCCCCTGATCCACCGCGCGCATTGGAGCGATCCGTTCCCACAATTCATTGGGACAATATTTGAATTTCACAAATCACTTTCACTTTCGAAAATGTAACGTTGACCCAATACATTCATGAATTAAACAACATCACACATAAATATATGAAATAAATAAACAGCTGAGTTCTGTATTTAAACTAAATCATGCGCAGTCTCAGTGATGGACTTCTAATCTGCCCTGAATGTAAAAACAAATGCCTCAGTTTGACTAAAACCTTCTACCTGACAGGTGACATGATTTAATGTTATTAGGGAGATATTCCTGCATTTATTCAATGAAAACTCTACAATTAATATTATTTATCTAATATATACAGTATCAGATGATAATCCATAAAAAACAGTTAAAAACAGGCACTGTGGAAGTGGACAAGATGGATTTTCCATGAAACTACATCCAGCCTGTGCTGAAGTGAATAAACATTTACCTCCAGTGGCCATGTTGAGCAACTTCAGCAGAAAATCAGCAGCTGGCACTGAGTCACATCTGGGAATAAATGACATCTGAATACTCACAATATGAAAGTTTGACAAGTCCATTATTGTTGTGGTTATTATTGATAGTATTTAACATGTCAGTGGCAACAGTACTAATGATTGATTACCAATGTCCAATGAAACATACACCTCTAATAAGTCAACAAAACATCACACTTTCTAGAATCACTCATCTTTATTTTGTCAGATCTTTTCCAGGTTGAAAAATACAGTTTATAAATACATGTAAAAACTGATCAAATGTTATAAAGAGTAAAACAAATCATCCTGTAACAGCTATACTGAGTGCTCCCTGTTGTGTGGAGATTTTAATGTAAACTTTAGAGGTTTTGTCACAGCACTGAGATATGTTGTCTGTCAAGCTTTGATGCAGTTTTGTTGAGGTCACTGTTGAACTCAGATCCTCAGTGGTTCAACATTGGTGTCAGTCCTTGCTTTTTAGTAAACAGTTGACATCAGTCAAGATGAGGTCTTCTCTCTATTCAAGATGACGACCATGGATTTTCACTCTTGATTATTCCCAGTAGGTGTCCGTCTTCTGACTTGATTGTTCTCCTGTATGACGAGAGGTGTTTGGGTCCTTAGAACAAAAATAAAAAATATTTAATTTTCACTCACAATGCTTCATTATTCAGTCAATACTTAATTAACAAATAGGTCTTAACAGGTTATGAACAGAGACGGCCAGTCTCACATATCAGTGTCTCTGTCTGTAGTTTGAGGCATCTCACTCATCTCATGGTCTCTGTGTGACAGACTGAAGGATTTAAGAACAGTTACAGCTGGACAAACATTTATTAACTGTCATAGACTCAGACACAGGAATTACACTGGTTTAAAGACGTACCTGTTGTGATGTTTTTGTTTAAGCAGGACAGTGATGAGCAAAGCAGCAGCAGCACAACCAAAGGCCACTAACACAATCCAAGTCCTGACTTTGAGAGGAAGAGGAAGAATTGATGACATCATTCATTCAACATCTATGAAGCAACAACAGATGAAATGAGAGCACTGACTTGAGACCATCTGAACATGAACTTACTGAAGGTTCTGTCATTAGATCCAGATTGAAAACCTGGAAAAGAAACAAACATGAGAATCACACAGTAATTATCAGTGTGTGAGTCTGTAGCTGTGGAAGTGTTTCTCACCATCAGCAGACGTCTGTTTGACCTCAGGAATCATCATAAACACCTCTTTGTGACCAGAGAGCACTCGCACCGCACATCCAACCTGTGCGCTGTTGTCACGGAAACCTGACAGCACAGCTGTAGTGGTGACAGTGACTGTACCATTGCTGTTGTGGACACTGACAGTGTTGTATTGTGAGAAGTGGAGGTGTGGCTGCGTGACGTTGAGTGTCAGTGTTGGAGCAGGTCGTCCTGTGGCCGAGCAGGACACAAGTGACTCCTGAGTAGAGTTTGATTCTCTAACATGTAGAATGGGTTCATGCAGCTCTGCAGAGGAAAGACATTTAACAAACATGACATGAGTTGAGTTGTTCCAGACATGAGCTTCTGATATGATCCTGTTTGTCAGGTTCCAACTGTAATGCAGTCAGGTTCTTACCATAGAGTTGGAGGCAGGTTGTAGCAGTGACAGCACCGTCAGGGAAGGTGTTAAACAAACAGAGATAGCAGCCTTCATCCTGCTCCATCACCTCTCTGATAACTATGGAGCAGTTCTTCAGTCCAGCATCTTTTATCTCCACTTTCTCTCTAAAGTCAGGAGTCACTCTGGGACCAAAGTGTTTGCTGTAGGTGGCAACATTCTTCTCCCCCTCAGGGAAAACTTTCTGCCATGTGACCTGAAGAACTTCTTTATGTTGCATGAGCTGACAGCTGAGACGAGCATCTTCTCCCACTGCTGCCACCACAGTCTGCTGTGTCTGTATCACAGCTGTTAGACCTGCATGGAGGGAATGAAAATACAGTTCAAGTGAAGATGTGGGATTCCAGCTGTGTGTGAGCTGGTTATAAAAAAATTTCAAGGTATATTTTGTATCAGATTTTTCCAGCTCAAGAGTGATTTGTACTGTGTTAAGAAACTGTGGACAAGCCAGCACCACTAAATTTGCAGTCTACCTGTATTTTGATGTCTATGGTGACTGCATTAAAACACATGCAGGGTTGATTATTATTCTGTTGTTTTTCTTACTTTGCAAAGACAGGTGCTCCAGAGCGAAAGTCTTACTTGAGGAGAGGTTATAAAATCTTAATTGTAACTGAACGCCTCACATACGATACAATTCATCAAATACCATACGGATACTCATGTGACTGTGGTACTTAAAAGAAAGTGTTAACATAAAGTATATAACATTACATATATGGAATAAGATGAATCGTATTATATTCACAGGAAGTATAAATCATGTGACCTGACACCCTTATAAATTTAAAAAATCCCTCTAAAATGTGAGAAAATTACTTCATTCTTTGATTTTGAGATGCTGGAAAAACATTCATTAAATAATTCCTGACAACCCTGACTACATGCAGACTGAAAATCAAGCATTTGAATTAAATGTGTTTAGAGATATTCCTGTTATTCAAGGTGCAAATGTGGGACTTTTACTTTGGAATTTCTCTTCTCTGATAGAGTAAAGATGCATGAGGCTTTGTATGAGTGTAGTCATGGTTGTCCTCAACTCAAAGTGCCACAGGTAACATGTTTTATACTTTCTGTGAATATAATCCAATTAGACTTATTTGCATGGAAGTATTTACCTTATGTTAATACCTTCTTTTGAAAACCAGAAGCACATCTCCTGCTTTTTTGCCATGTCTCAATATAATATAAATGTGGCCTCAATATACAGCTGGGTCCAAAAGACTGAGACTTTTGGGCCACACTGTGGACTATATTTTTTTCTCGGTGTGGCCACCCCGGGGTTCCGTAGGGCAACTGTACGAACAGGAGAACATGGGTGTTCAGAATTAAAAATGTAAGAATTCATGCCAAGAAAAAAATGATATTCACATATAAACTATCTCAATACATAATCTATGACCAGTAAGTATATCAGTGTGTCAAATAAACTGCTGATTTAAAACGCTACACAAAATGCAACAGTTCATTTTGACTAATTGACCCCTATTGTATCTCACAATGGAACAATCCGTCTCCAGCACATGCTTTCATTTTCAAGTTCAGCCTTTACACGAGGGCAGACTTTAGTATCTGGATGAACTGATGAAATGAAATTGCCTAAATCCTAAACAAATACTTCCACCAGCTGACTGTGTCTGTTTGAAATGATAACCGTGTCTTTGTTATCAGTTATAACCTTATATATCTCTAACTTAACTCTTCTGACTTATTTAGTATTAGTGCTAGTTACTGCACTCCTGTGAAAAAATGCTGGCTCTCAAACATGTTAATCTGAGTAAAACCTTCGTGTGTTTGAAGGTATTTATAGACCTGTGTGGTTGTTATCGACAGTTTCCGGCTCTGGCTACACAGTCATTAAAAAAGGCGAACTCTTTATTTGAGCAATTCTGAAGAGTAAAAAAATAATGTATTAACAAATGAAAAATTATAAAAAGGAAGGTAAAAAAAGTTTCAGCACAAACATTTCATCATCAAAATGATTATAGACATTATTTGTTATGAAAGGTTGGAATCATTTTCCATGAATCAGGACGGACTTGTTGTAACAGACTTACACAGAGAGCTGAATGTTGTATGGGGATTTGAGTGTATAACATATGTTGCCTCTCCGGCTTTGATGCAGTTGTCCTCAGGTCTGAGTGTCTCAGCACTGACTCAACAGTTGTGTCAGTTCTTGTGTATTAGCAAACAGTTGAAATTAGTCAAAATGAAGTCTTCTTTCTGTTGACAGTGACGATGTTTCTTCAGTATTCTGAGGAGGTGTCCGTTTTCTGACCTGATTGTCCTCCTGTGGGACTAAAGGTGTTTGGGTCCTAAAAATAAAACATAAATAGTTAATGTTCACTCACAATGCTTCATTATTCAGTCAGTATTACAGGAACAAATGATCTTAAACAGGTTATGAACAGAGAAGGCCAGTCTCACATATCAGTGTCTCTGTCTGTAGTTTGAGGCATCTCACTCATCTCATGGTCTCTGTGTGACAGACTGAAGGATTTAAGAACAGTTACAGCTGGACAAACATTTATTAACTGTCATAGACTCAGACACAGGAATTACACTGGTTTAAAGACGTACCTGTTGTGATGTTTTTGTTTAAGCAGGACAGTGATGAGCAAAGCAGCAGCAGCACAACCAAAGGCCACTAACACAATCCAAGTCCTGACTTTGAGAGGAAGAGGAAGAATTGATGACATCATTCATTCAACATCTATGAAGCAACAACAGATGAAATGAGAGCACTGACTTGAGACCATCTGAACATGAACTTACTGAAGGTTCTGTCATTAGATCCAGATTGAAAACCTGGAAAAGAAACAAACATGAGAATCACACAGTAATTATCAGTGTG